AAGAGGAACTTCTTCCAAAGATAACACTGTAGCAGTAAGCAATGAAACAAAGCCACCCACGCGAATCGACGGTACAACCGCTGCTAACATATCAGACTCATGGAAACCTAACATGGTTACAAAACTTCTGTCAACCAGGATTCTCTCGCGAGGAGAGTCCAGATGAGCATACGGTTTGGCTGCAGGGTTCGCGCCCAGTGGGCAGGGGGCGTGTACGCTCGTCGTCTGCGGTCTCCTCCAGAGCTATCTCTCATGTAAAAACATGTCAAGAGAAGGTGCAAGCAGTTTTGATGCAGCTTCGTCGTTAAAGTAAATCGCGAAATCGTTTTCAAATTGCTCAATGAAATAGAAAAGGAGGTGGGCGCTCATGTCTTTACGGAGACATTTATGTAAGTGAGCCACTAGTACAACTCGGGACTAAGCCTTAAAGAGAAGAAAGGATTCTGGGTGGGCAGCCACTGTTCTACCGGGTGTTTATTCCCAGTCCTGGGCTTAATCCTGCATTCACCTACCAGCGGTTTTTAAACGCTCTGTTTGAATGTCCCAAAACATGAGCGCCAGGAGGTGAATTCTGAAAAAGGGGTAGGTTGTAGGATGACCCTTTGCCTGACATGACCACACGAAAAGGATAAAACTATTGATTCAATTGATTTAAAGTTATGACATGAACTTAGATTTAAACACTTACTTGCTGTTCACACTCTAGGTATACATACAGGGTTTACTCATGTTTTACATTTTGTGACAGAAATACTCATACACATACTCATGCTTCATATTGCACATAAGGTACTCATACACGCACGCTAGTATTCCTACGCTAGCATTTCCTCCCTTGAACACTACTCAAAAGAATCTTTCCTTCAAATGTAACTTCAAGAGGGTATCAAAGTGCTGAAGGCATTGAAGACCGTGTGGGCTCAGAAAATCGGGAAGTGCTCCTGAGCAGTACAGTCTAATCTAGTAACGAAAGCCTGAATTTTTAAGTGGGTGTACAACGAGGAGTTCTGGCGAAAGCTCGTAGTCATAAAACGTAGCCACAGCTAAGGAAAAACTGCAGAAAAATTCAGCTATGAGAGCTGCAACAGGCCAAAGCACCAACGAAAGGGGGCCTCTCGCGTCTGCGCTCTGGCGTTCCGGAGTAGAAGACGCAGAGGCGGCGTTTGCAGAAGAGACGGCAGACGTATAAACCAACGCTATCGCTGGCGAGACTGACGGTTTTCCCGCTGCGCCGTATCACAGACGGCTACAGTGCGACAGTTTGACGCACACCCCGCCTCATATAAATATTGGCTGTTGCTGAAGATGTTCTCTCAGAAGATTTTTTCCCAAAGGGTATCTCGGCTCAATAACTCATTATGACCTGATATAACGTGATTGTTGCCACCCCGAATTCGCGAAGGCTTTCCAAAATAAGGGCCCTGACCCAACCATGAATTGAAGGTCACAATCAAATAATACCTCTTAACACGGGTATAAACAAACGCTATCGCTGCGAGACTGACCGTTTTCCCGCTGCGCCGTATCATCACGACGGCTACAGTGCGGTGTTCTGACCAACATCCTCCGTCATCATATAATATTGGCTGTTGCTGAAGATGTCTCTCAGAAGATTTTTCCCAAGGGTATCTCGGCTCAATAACTCATTATGACCGATAATAACGTGATTGTGGCCACCCGAATTTGCAGGCGAAGGCTTTCACAAAAATTAAGGTCCCTGACCCACCATGAAGGAAGGTCAGAACCAAAATAATACCTCTCAATACTGAGTATAAACCAACCGCTATCGCTGCGAGACTGACCGGTTTTCCCGCTGCGCGTATCACGGACGGCGCTACAGTGGGGCAGTTTGACGCAACATTCCCCTTCATATAAATATTGGCTGTTGCTGAGGATGTCTCTCAGAAGATTTTTTTCCTAAGGGAACCTTGGCTCAATAACTCATTATGACCTGATATAAACGTGATTGTGGCCCACCGAATTTGCAGCGAAGGCTTTCCAAAAATTAAGGTCCTGACCTAACCATGAAGGGAAGGTCAGAATCAAATAATACTCTTAACACTGGTATAAACAAACGCTATCGCTGCGAGACTGACCGTTTCCCCGCTGCGCCGTATCACAGACGGCTACAGTGCGGTGTTCTGACAACATCCTCCGTCATCATATAAATATTGGCTGTTGCTGAGGGATGTCTCTCAGAAGATTTTTTTCCTAAGGGAATCTTGGCTCAATAACTCATTATGACCTGATATAACTGATTGTGGCCCACCCGAATTTGCAGCGAAGGCTTTTCCAAAAATTAAGGGTCCTGACCTAACCATGAATTAAGGTCACAATCAAATAATACCTCTTAACACTGGTATAAACCAACGCTATCGCTGCGAGACTGACGGTTTTCCCGCGCTGCGCCGTATCACAGACGGCTACAGTGGGCAGTTTGACGCAACATTCCCCGTCTCATATAAATATTGACTGTTCTGAGGATGTCTCTCAGAAGATTTTTTTCCTAAAGGGAATCTTGGCTCAATAACTCATTATGACCTGATATAACGTGATTGTGCCCACCCGAATTCGCAGGGAAGGCTTTCCAAAATAAGGTCCTGACCTAACCATGAAGGGAAGGTCAGAATCAAATAATACCTCTTAAACTGGATATAACCCAACGCTATCGCTGCGATACTGACCGGTTTTCCCGCTGCGCCGTATCACAGACGGCTACAGTGCGGTGTTCTGACCAACATCCTCCGTCATCAATTATTAGCTGTTGCTGAATATATCCTTGGAGAGATGTCCAGCTGAATTCTCAGCAGTGACTCTAATAGTTTTTCCTAAAGGTAATCTTGGCTCAATAACTCATTATGACCTGATATAACGTGATTGTTGCCCACCGAAATTCGCAGCGAAGGCTTTCCAAAAATTAAGGTCCTGACCCAACCATGAAGGGAAGGTCAGAACCAAATAATACCTCTCAATACTGGGTATACCAACGCTATCGCTGCGAGACTGACCGGTTTTCCCGCTGCGCCGTATCACAGATGGCTACAGTGCGGTGTTCTGACCAACATCCTCCGTCATCATATAAATATTAGCTGTTGCTGAGGATGTCTCTCGAAAGATTTTCTCCCTAAGGGAATCTCGGCTCAATAACTCAATATGACCTGATACAACATGATTGTTGCTCACCCGAATTCGCAGGGAAGGCTTCCCAAAAATAAAGGTCCTGACCCACCCATGAATTGAAGGTCAGAATCAAATAATACCTCTCAATACTGGGTATAAACCAACGCTATCGCCGCGAGGCTGGCCGGTTTTCCCGCTGCGCCGTATCACAGATGGCTACAGTGCGGCAGTTCGACGCAACATTCCCCGTCTCATATAAATATTGGCTGTTGCTGAGGATGTCTCTTAAAAGATTTTTTTCCTAAAGGGAATCTTGGCTCAATAACTCAGTGTGACCTAATATAACGTGATTGTTGACCAACCGAATTCGCAGGGATAAATAAAAAAAGGATAAAGCATATGCCGTACCATGCCGTGCCGTGCAGCATATAAAGCTTATGCCAATCCCTTTTTGGGATGCGGCACGTATTCCATTTCCATTTGCACATTCGTAGTGGCGTTTGAATGTGATTTGGCCTATACAATGACTTGCGGGGGCCAGCCATGTTCAAGTCAGTGTTTTTATCCTCCCCGACAAGGCTGGTACCATTTGACCAATCCCGGAGGGATGGAATGCTTGATTGGCCCGGGCGACTCACGACCCAGGATTTGATACCCGGACCGCTCGCGTGGTAAGAGTGCCACTTGCCACTACACCACTTCCGCCCTTCGCAGTGAAGGCTTTCCAAAAATAAAGGTCTTGACGCATCTATGAATGGAAGGTCAGAGTCTCGTAACTCCTTTTGATGCTGGGTATGAACAACTCTATAACTCCGAGACCGACCGGATTTGCCGCTGCACCGTATGACAGGCATTTACAATGAGGCCTTGCAGGCTTAGATCTCCACTTCCATTAGCATGTCTTGCCTACGTTGTCTTTTCCCAATCATATAATATGTTCCTATTTCGCCAATCCACCTTTTCTGGGTATGGCTGCCGGTGCTCTTCCCAGTAGTGGTTTCCACACTCATAATCCATTTTCTCGCAGTGAGTTATGCACCATCCTCCCCTCCTTATTCTATGCCGAATCCACAACATACTCTTGGCTTGACTTGTAGCCATGCCCTAGAATCGCACTTGTCGGGCATTCTAGCACACGAATATGAAAGTGTTGGTGCCCATTGGATCGGCAGTAAAAAAATAGGAAAACAATCTGTCGAAAACGCTGAGGTTAACGACTTGCACCTTTGTAATGCGCCTGTGCTAAAGCAATGAGAGGCTGGTCGTGGATAGGAGAGTGTGAGGCAAGAAAGCGCCAGAGATGAGGCGTCTCCAGACAGCTGCCTGCTGCTGACGGGAGAAATCGAAGCTCTTGAAGCCTCTTTGCAAGGCTTTAACGCATGGGCCATTTCCATGCATATCTTATACTATCTTCAAAGGTCTATCCTAAATACCAAACCGACACGTTCACCCGACTTCTGTTGCAGTTTAGCCATCAAGAAGCCAACCTGTGGGCTCCATGTCTTCGTTCTTTGCCAGCTGGCAATACCTAACTCAGAGCTTTTCGTATATCTGAGGATGGTAGTTTACGATGCTATTTTAATAAAAGGGCAGATTGAAAAGACATGTTGACAGCAATGGGTATTGAGAATAAGGCATATTGAAACAGTTTTTTTTCTCCATGCATTGAAAGTCTTATACAATGAAGTAAGCAGCGGTGAGCCTCACATCACAGTGGCTGTCAAGGTACGGAATCATTTTTAACCACACTATGCAAGCTATAAGATGAATAAAGATTAAGAACTCCTTCTCGACTCGTAAAAATGCGGTGAAATCCAATAAAAGACGGTCTTTCGACATGAAAGGGTCGAATAGGAAGTGAAATAAAACGTAGAAGTAGCTCAATTGAGGAACGACGAAAGTGTTGTGATTGTGACACATGTAATGACGACATTGCTAGCACCGTGAAAAGTTCCTCTTTCTTTCGCTATCCAGTCCATGTTCGGGTCGGACATCGTGAGGCTTGGGTATTTCACCATCACTGAAATTCTCTTTATTACATGATCGGTGAAAAGAATTTCCCTGAAGAAGGCACTCGAACATTAAAGAGAAGAGCTTGAAATTCTTGGCAGCCATGTAGGCACATACTAGCGATAAGTCGGGCTGCGTGTAAATCTTATGGACACGTTTACCGGTCTGTTCTGCAAATGCACCCAATTTCAGCACCCTACGAATTGTGTCACCTGTGGACCCGGGAGACGGTCAATTCAATCGTCGGCAAATGAGGTCATGCCGCTCACGCGGCGGGCAGCGTCGCGCGCCTCACTGTTTCTCACATTTAAGCCTCACTGTACAGAGCTTGTGCCATGAAAAGGTCGTCCTTTCAAACATAATGAGACTTTTTTCATTAACCAGCTGCCTGAAATGTTATCAGAGAGCGACAATCTGGCTAAATCGGGAAAATATTATGTTTAAAGACGCAATGGGACCGTGAGGAAGGCAATAACATCAGTATTACAGAATAAGTTCGTAAATAATGGCAAAGGACAAGGATCCTATACTTTAAGGGAGCAAGTAATCATAGACCATGTTTCGCGACTGGAAACTTCATCAAATCCTACATTCCCCAATGCTAGAACCCTGAATTCTAGCCACGGCCGCCGTCGCATCGCGGCCCGCGGCGGCTGGCGCGGTGAAGTAGCCACCGCCACGATTGAATCGTCACGCACGTTGTAGACCCTGTTGCCCTCAGTTTCTTACTTGTCTGGCAAAAGCGTTTGATTCGAGAAGGCAAGGCGAACAGGGGGTTCTTTGGTCTTTGGGAATAAAGTTACAGAAGTTAATAGAAACGAACGTGTTGAGCAGGTTAGCTGATATCGGCAATGACCCGCCTGCGGCGAAAGTTTCGTTCACAACACAGCATACTTGTGAAACATTCGCAAAGCGAACTGCTGCCAACAAAAAAAACTAGTCAGAATCCACTGCTGAAGCTTTCAGCCTTGCTGTCATTGCCGATATCGGCTAACCGGCTCAACACGTTACAGTTGTGAGCGCTGACAAGCTATGGTACGTATACCATTAGAAGCTGAGTTGAGATGGAATGATGCCCTGTAGCGTAACTTGTAGCGCATTTGCCCAGTAAGCAAGAGGTGCGAGTTCGAGTCCCGTCTGGGGCGAAAGTTTTATTCACAAGCCAGCATACTTGTGAAACATTTTGTAGAAAATCTATCACTGCCTGTCGTGACTTCCGTACGACTCAATCAGAAGGGTCTCGCCTGGTCAGGTGTGCGCGGTTCCTGGCGCGCCCGTGTATCGAATCTTCGCGAAGAGCGCCAGAGAAACGGAGTGCTGGCACCTCTCCCTGCCCCAGACAACGTGTTACCGGCGTCGAGTGTAGCTGTTTGTCATCGCTCCGCCTTCCCTGTCAAAACCTCGCGCCTCGATTCGCCGTAGGTCTTGGAGTAGATCAGGACATGGATGTCCGAGGATGGACAGCGGATACCAAGGCAAATCGCCTCACGTGGCATACATCTGGGTTCGACCCGTGAGTTAGGGCATAGTCTTTTGCATATATTGTAGTATGCTTTCTCCTCACAGTTTAAAGGCACGAGTCGGGATTGAATTGGTGCCTTATTTTGTTCAAACATTAGACAAGGAGTGCAACGAGGAACATTAATGATGAGAAGAAGCAAAAGCACCATAGAAAACACTAAACTCCCCTTAGGAGGACGGCCGTAGTACAACGGAGAAACACTGCGCTGCGAGGAGAGGGAGAACGCGAGATAGTATGTCGTACGCGAGAGGACGCAGAGACCACGTATGCCGTGTTGGACTACGCTGGCAGCGCTGGCAGCGCGGGCAGCGCGGCAGGCGAGGCCTAGCGCCATTGCCGCTTTTTGGGTCGCGATAGTGTCGCGCCCTCAGTGCTTGGGGTAGGCCACCACCGCAGTCTGGGAAGAACTTGGTGGTTGCCTAATCCTGGCTTGTGGCTTTAATAGTTTCCACATAGGAATTTATGGTTTTACGGCTTGGTTATGTACGGTATACTTCTACGATTATCTATGGTTTTTTTACTGTGTTGCGTAGAATATCTCAGGTTGAAAATTACAAAAAATCATAAGAAATAACAAATTTAGAATAATTAACAAGGAAAATTCTTAATGAGTACGAGTATCCACGCTTTTCGAAGCCATAGCTTGCTTCATTTTCGTCAAATCTGAAAGGTTAATATGGCAGACAAAACTAGATGATTTTCTCTATCGAACGGTAACTAGAGCCGCTTTACTCGTCCAATTTTTGAAAAATGGCCACACTGAGGATTTTGCAAAACTTACGAGGGAATTTCGTGATGACAAAACGATGATGAAAAATTACTGCGTGGACACCTCTGAATCACGAAATTTGTATGCGAGCGGATGTTGTTATTGAAGTCCTCCGCCCTTCCGTGGCATTGATTCGATCCTTGATGTTTGTCCTCTAACAGTGATGATCCTACTGCATCAATCCGGTCTGATCTCCCCCTCCCAATGGGCCAATACGACATCCCCTGTGACATGTCGAGGATTCCTCAACGCGTGCTTGACCCTGGTACCCTGCTGGACTGTTGCTAAAAGCGTCGGGGTTCGCCCGGGCGCCAGGGTCGGCGGGAGGGTAGCCAGCGGAAACTTATGCCGCGCTCGCTGCCCGCCCTCTGCCACGTGGACACCTAGTAAGTGCACAAAGCCCCGACTGGATGTACGCCATGATCCGCTACGAATCACATTACCGGGGACAACGCCGTGATATCAACACCCTACTATGCCACGTTCCATGATGGAATGTCTGGCCCAGCCTTCAGGCATCTGACTTGCTAAGTAAGCATACGAGACACATAAATGTTCATAGCGGATCTATCATCATCTAGTTTTGTCTGCCATATTAACCTTTCAGATTTGACGAAAATGAAGCAAGCTATGGCTTCGAAAAGCGTGGATACTCGTACTCATTGAGAATTTTCCTTGTTAATTATTCTAAATTTGTTATTTCTTGTGATTCTTTGTAATTTTCAATACTGATTGGAAAGAGCTCTTCACAAAACTCCCAAGTCTTCTTTCGGATTGAAAATTCGTCATATTTGAAGGGAGTTGTACTCATTTGAATGTGTTCAAATTTCAATTGTAGATAAGTTGCTCCAAAGCCAAGGCAAAAGATCAATCATTACCCTGCTGGCTAATGCGGTTACAGAGCTTCTTTCATGCGAAATGGGCATGTGAATTAAGAACCATACTCTGTGTAGTACCAAAATTTGGTAAGTCTTCCGAAGGAAATAAGTAAGGAAGAGATGTTGTCATAGTATACCATTTTTTGGGGCTAGTTTGTCGTTTTTTGTTCTGTTTCTCGTTTGCTCGTTTGGTAGGACTCATCAATAATGATCATTCTCTGACTTTTTCACTTTGGTACTTCTTAACACATTCGCGCCGTTGGTCGCCCATATGAGCTGCCAAAAGTACATGTTTTTGGGACGATGGCAGCCCGTATGGGCTGCCAGCTGATAATCGCTTGCCAGATGCCACGAATGGGAAGATAGGTGGGTAGACCTCGTAATCGAGTTGAAATGCTTTTAATTCCTTTACGGAAAAGTGAATAGATGCTTCTTTTTTTCGATACGGCAGTTGTTTTTATCGAAATCCTACTAATATATACCCTAAAATCCCATAGATAAGAGCGGTCCATAGATATTTTTTCAAAAATAAAATAAAATAAAAATAAAAATAATTTTCAAAATCATTTTTACCGGTAAATTAAACCGCTCTTATCTTAGGAATTTTTACTGATCGAATGGGCTCTTCAAGTTCTATCAAGAGATCAAATTCCGGCATTTCTAGAGAGATTCCGGCAGAAATTCCGTTAAAATCGCTATTTTCTATATGAATTGTTTATTAAGTGGCGGGGTTTAGAGTTGAGGGGCGGAGCTTCTTCTAAACTTCTTCTCCGATTTTTATTTACCCATCCATCAAGTTAGAGGGGTGACTGCATTCAATTTCTATTTCATCCAATTCATTTTTCACCGGTAGATTAAACCGCTCTTATCTATGGGATTTAGGTAATTAAATTATCTTTATGCATTGGACTTTGCACAAATTATTTTGTCATTCATGTTTTCGTTCGTTTACGGTACAAAATCCGCGGATGTGAGGTGAGGCGGCGGCGCCCACAAAATCGCGTCCGTCCCGACCGAAAGTGGAAAAGGGGCGCCGTCGTGGTTGTGTTAAACGAGTTTTTTTTGGTGAAGGGTGAAGTAGCAGGGGTTTTTTATGAACAGTTTTGGGAGAGTATTAAACAACCTTTTCATAGTTTGCTTCTGGAGGGGGTCGTTTTATGGACCCCAGCCTCTGAGGGAGGCGGGGGAGGGGGTCGTATAAATTTTTCTCGACGGTTTGCTTGACCCTGGTTTCGACCATTCAATTCTAATGGTGTGGAAAGATGCACTAGCCCTTATAGCCACTGATTCAAAAACTCGCCTCTGAAAGTTGTTGAAAAGGGGTGTAACGCCTTCGATGTGGGCGAGGCAACTAGGCCCCCTAGAGCCTACTCGCAGCCGTGGAGAGCACGCTTGGATGCGGATCCTTGTGTGATTGCTTGTAACTGCCCCACCATTCGAAGCTTATGCTGCGTCTTTTGATTGGTTTTAATTTGTTGTTTTCACGAATACATATGTCTATGTTCCTACTAGGGCAAATGCGATTGCAGTCGCATTTTTTGCTGGAACGACCCAGCAAGAAATGCGAGCCAGTTCAGACAATTCGTCCGACCGGCCATCACTTCATTCCAGAGAGGGAGCGGGAAAGCTCCTATTTAGGGCTTCGCCGGCGTTTCGATTTGTTTCGCCGAATTCGATCTGGGAATGTTGGCTTATGCGAAATGCGAGCAGCAAGACGGCTGGGATGGCGCGACGCTGCCCCATAGATATGCTACAAATGAGCCTGCTTATTACATATCTCACCTTTCTATTCTTGATTTGGACGTTCCTTCGTATTCTTACTTTTGTGTGCTCACTGCACTTTGCATGGATTTGGACACGTCTGATATCCTGCTCGGAATTCCAAGCAACTTTCTAACGGCCATGTTGAATGGCATAACAAAGTATAACGTCACAAATGGGCTGGTTGCAGGATAGAAGCTAAAATAAGCATTAAATAAAACTTAATATAGGCGAAATTTATCACGATTAGTGTGCGATATAGCATTGTTTTTCTGAGAACATACCTAAATAGCACATAGACGAGATACTCGATAATTGTGAAATTGATGAATTCAAGGTGGTAGAGGGCATATATTAGAATAGGTGGAAATATGAAAAGGACGGGAAGTGAAGCTTGAATGATAAGAGCCTAAATACGAGTCATCTATTACGGCCATAGTAAAGCAACGAGTTGCTTACCCGCATAAGTTTTCGATGTCCTCTGATAGTGGATTCACGCATATTCTAGAAAATCAATTTTAATGAAACACATACGAACGTTTTGTCGGAATTCTTTTTTAGGTAAGACTAGTTGACCTTTAAAGTTAGATCTGAGTCAGGATCAACAACTATGGATGGTTCGTTCCAAAGGTGCGCCAGCTCATGACTGCACCACTCACGCGCTACTCGCGAAGGAAGCTCCTTTCAAACGGAACCTCAAATAAGACGCTGCTTTTGAGCGCGCCAAGCGTCGCGCTTTGTTCCGTAACTCATCACATCCCAAATCTACATATCCTCGTCGCAGCCGATGCTTCAGACTATGGAGTAGGAGCAGTAATCTTCCACCGACCGGGATGGGACTGAGGAAGCTGTTTACCACGCCAGTCGTTTCCTATGCAAGGCGGAGAAGAATTACGTTCAAATAGAGAAGGAAGAGCTTGAACTTCTTGACGCCGCAAGGTGTCCGCACGTTTCATCGCTACATCGCCATTACACCTCCTCACAGACAACAAGGCACTCATGGCCATATTTGGATTCAAGATAGAGGTCTTCACCGACTTGACTAACCGCCTCCAACGTTGGAGACTCACACTGCTCACCTTCAATTTCGACATCGAGTAGCGGAGCACCACCGACTTCGTACAGGCCGACGCACTCTCTCGCCTCATCTCCAGTTGCCACAGGAGGAAGGACATCATAAATCGCCAGGAACGTCCATCGTCCACGTCCACCTCCGCAACGACCTTTCAACTCAGCCAAGGATGCCTACCCTTTGGGAGCCGCATCGTCATCCCGCCTGCACTCCAGCCGACTGCTATGAAAGCGCTTCACGAGAGACATCAGGAGTGAGTCGTTTGAAAGCCCTTGCTCGTAGCTATGCATCTGAACGAAGATCAACGGCGACTTGGAGAAGCTTGTTCGCAGACTTCTGACTGCCAAGAAGCCGACAAGTCACCTGTCAAAAACACGCTTTGTTCGTCGCCCTGCACTATGGAGCCGGATCCATACCAATCCATGGGTAGAATTCCTACCTGGAGGTCGTCAACGCATTTTCTCAATGGCCCGAAGTCGCTACAATGACTTCACCCACCAACGCTCGCAACGTTAAGGAACTGCTACACCTATTCGCAAACTTGGGATTTCATCAGATCATCGTCTCAGATAACGAAACTCAGTCCACCTCCGCTGAGTTCCAGGATTTTTGCCGAAGCATAGGAACTAAGCACGTCCTGTCGCCGCGGTGTCACTCCAGCGCGATGGACAAGCTGTACGCTTTGCCAACACTTGCAAGGCTATTCGGAAGGATAATGAACAATTGACCGATCGTCGACACTCTGCAGACATTACTTTTCACCTTCAAGAGCACGCGCGTGCATTCTTTGCCCGATGGACGGTCTTCCGCAGAAAACTTCATCGGTTGACGCCTACGCCACGCTGTACGTGCTGGAGCCTAGCAAGACGCCCGAAGCTAAGCCAGACATCGTTCTCCAGACAACCCAGATGGTCTTCTGGACGCATTCTACTACAGCGCACGGCATACGCTCTAAGAGGTGCTAGTACAAGGAATCCATCCGAATGCGCCATGCCAATCAACTGCACCCACGTGTCTCATCGGAAGAATCACAAAACCTAGTGGACGTCTTTGATATACTGTTCTACACACCGCCCCAAGAACGCTGACGCCGCCTGTCTCTCGTGGTCACGACTGCTTCTCAGAATCTGCCGTCACTTTTCCAAAAAACCTTAGAATCAATTGGTAATTTAAGCGGTCACCTTTCTATGGCGGTTTTATTGGTGCAACCCGAATGCGAAACCACAACTGATCAAATGCAAATTTTTTTTAAAAGAGCTTGGGATGCGCCGGATCTCTTACCGTTTGGGTTTATGAAAACTTCGAACTGAACTGCTGTGTGCACCGAAAACCAGCAGTCGTTGTCAAAAATTGAGAGAAGCGAGAGCAAGTTTTCAAGATAGGGTCTAGATTACAACAGACTTTCTACCGAAGGTGTGGTAGTTTGTGACGGGTAACATCCGAAAGTGCAGCTCATTGGAGTTCACTTCCACAAATGTTAAAACTAACTCGAAGGACTTGCAAAAACCTTTAATTAGGTAAATCATTCTAGACTCGTGATTCGCTCAGTGGTCTTTTGCTCTCCAGTGAAGCTGAGCACTATAATACGCGCTTCAATCGACCAAAGCCATCGTGGGCGCTCACTTTCCAGGCCACCGGAGCAAGGAATTTTCGACATTATGGGATTCTTCCACGATGGACTTTGTGAGAATGTTGTGGAGCAAGTCCTCATACTTGAGTTCTCCGGCTCGGTGGCGCTCTAAAGTTACCGCTTCGAAAGAGGTTCGACATCGCAGTTGTCTACTGCGGCGCACTTGCTGGTTTTGTCGTTTAACGCTCAGAAGACCTCTCCAAAGCAGGGTGTTCCAAATTCGAAGCACCTTCCTTAGTTGATCAAATAGCTTAACTATCTAGTCGGTTACGACCAGGTCTCTTCTTGGTTTTTACATCCAAAAACATGGCGTCCTATACTTTTCAGTCACCTGTATAAGGCGGAAGTGTGTGTAGTGGAAGTGCAAGTGACACGCTTACCACCGCGAGCGGTCCGAGGATCAAATCCTGGATCGCGGGTCGCCCGGGCCACCTAATAATAAGCCTTTAATCTCTGTTGGCTCGGTTCATTTGGTGCCATTGCTTGTCTGGAGAGGATAAAAACACTGACTTGCACATCGCGCTGACCACCGCCAAGTCTTGTGTAGGGCAACATCGATACAGCGCCACTAAATGTAGAAGGAAAAAGATAGAGAACGAAGCGAATGCGTTGCGGCATCCTCAAAAAGCTAATTCATCATCGGCGAATTTCATTTTACAAACTATATACAGTTGCGTGGTTCAAGAGATAAAAGCCACCCATGAAAGGATTTTTTGAGTGAAGTAATATCTCCATGGTCCATGTACTGGATCGAAGACTTCAGCAGTACCTGAAACAGCCATTATCCTCTCTATGTCGGAGAATAAATATGGCCTCAACATTTTCAGAAAAAAAAATATACAAGATCTTCTGTTGAAAAGTACAGTACTCGCCGTTTAGAAAATCGAACAATTCACAGCGAATATTAACGCGAATTCCTCGGTAAGTTTCGTGAAGTTCGTTATAACTCGGTTCAAAATTGAGCTCTCGAGAATCTGACAGATATCGTTCAAATCAGCTCGTCGGACACTGTAAGAAGTTTGCTTTGATACGTTGGAAAAGCTCCAATATCAGTATGCGCCAACGCTCGATTTTCCATCTCAAAAAGTTATGTTGCTCGCATGTGATGCTATATAGTGGATCCATAACTGCAGTACACACAGAGAAGAGAGCTCGAAACTACCCCAGATGCGCTGCGCTCAATCTCATCCACTACGTTGTGAGATTAGAGAATGTTATTTTCCGAATTCTTAGATCTTTTATTTCGTTTTTGAGCGCTTACTGGTACGTGTTCCTTGCCCTCTCAAGATCCCATCCGAATTCAAGTGGAATCTTTGAACAGTTCACAGCAGCATAGTGGGCCTATGTATGTAACATTTTCCATTTTCAGAGGAGATGGTTTTGCAGAAAGCTGTGAAGAAACGCGACGAATTTCCTTTACTGTCGTAGACGACGTTCACTTGTCTGTAGAATTATGTGGAAATCGGTCGCCAAGTGAGCATTCCTTCCGTGGTGGGCCCAAACATGCCTCCCCGTCCATGCCCTTGTGGAAAGTTCGGTTTTTTTTGCATTTTTCAGTATGATGCGCCGCAGACCTAATGTGTCCCGTTAGCTCCCTGAAAAATGCTATCGAATGATATGCTATATATTGCATTACTCCTCCAGTTAAACATTTGGTTTTCCACTTTCAGCATGTCCCCTATTGCCGGATTGGGCGTACTCCCAGCGATTTCGAACTTTCCCTATGAGCTATTCAATGCCTGTACGAATATGACATACATTTTGTGCTGCTATCATTTGGCGCATTTGGCGCCTTTGGACGCCATTTGCGCTACGGCTGCTTTCCACTAAATCGCTAAACGTGGTGTATAGGGTGTATTTGGCATCCTGATCACGATATATAACACAGGGTCTTACGTCGCGCCATGTGGTGTCACAAGAACATTCACAGTCCGAAGCCGTACTCTTAGGCCACACTCAGAGCGCGCCGCGGTCAGCCGTAGGAAATGTCATGAATCGGGGACTTTCCAGAAAACAAAAAAAAAAAAAAAAAAACAAAAGGAGCGCAGAAGCATGTTTCTCGTTTTCGAGAACGAAGAATAACGATGGCTCTTGCTACTCTTTAGCGGACACAATCGTCAGTGAGAGCTACTGCGGCCTAGCCTCGAAGGACGTGTACGAGACGCTCAAGTTGAATAATCTGCACCTACTGGTTGCGATCCATGGGTGATGTCTTTGCATTATGCCATTCATGTCAACGATCCAATGAGCCTGATCAACGAACGAACGCACAACGGCTGGATTTGCAATCGTCGAGCGTGCCGCAACAGGACGGCGAACGAGACCAGAGTCTACGCTTCATGCCCGGAAAGGATATCCTTTTTAGAAGAACTGTAACTTCTGAGTCCACGGTGCTCGCACTGCCCTACTTCGGCTGCGCGGACATGGGCAAGGTGGCGGCGCGGCGGTCGGCAATCCTCCTCCCCATTCCGACCCACACTATCCACGCCCCCCCACCGACCTTGGGCGCGCCGGCCCACCCCGGCGGCGCGCGGCGTCCCCGTCGGGCGGCGGTCCGCCTGCGCTCCTTCACGAAACAAAAAAAGGAACAAAGGAATACGAGCTCAAAGCAGGCACACCAGTTCACATTCAGTGTGGAACGTTGTTCTGCGATATGATGAGGGGCACTTCATGAGGAACACGCGATCATCGAAGGTCGGGTGCCGAGGATGGAAATTGATGCGAAACATCTATCAAATGCAAATAACAGCCCCGACGTGTCACAGCGACAATGTGTATTGGAGCATTGAAAGAGGAAGTGACTCCTTCGCACAGGTCCGAGGGAAAGAAAACGTTTCAACTCTACTGGGCTCATACATGAAGTAAAGATACATACGAGCCCGCGTTCTACCATCCGCACTGACAGACTGAGAGCATTACAGTCGAATTGGCTCTGGCCAACGCATACAGGCATCTCCAGTGAAAACGTGTAATATGCTTTTGGCTTAGCTCACAGTTTTCCACGGTCTGGCTCCTTCGTCGTGGAAAGTCTCCCATTCGATGACCTTTCCACGGTCTGGTCCTCCCTATCGTAGGAAGTCTGACTCGATGACCTTTTCCAGATGAAAGATATGACACGATGAGATAAGAAGGGGCGGCTGCTTGTAAGAGCGTGCACTTCAGAATGAAAACGGGGCGATAACGATAACGGTATCATATCTAGCTCGCTATTATCGCACCCTTTCCACATCGATAAAAGTCTCGGTTTTTGCTGAACGGAAGTGGATTTCGCGCGCTTATCACTCCGTTGATAAAGCGCCATGAAACTTCACGTGTTGTAACACTGGGCAGGACCTCTATCCACTCCAGTACACAGCTTTTCTTATCGTTTCTATGGAGAGCGTGAAACTCCACTTCGGGGGGGCCACTCATTTCTTTCATCTCATAAACCTTCAAGATAAGATTAGAAGGCTCACTTACACCGTAATCAGACTCATTTAATAGTAGACTTCTGCATTAAGTATCGGTGTAATGTGGAAGAAAACACTGAGATGACCTATATGTTTCGCTGTTTGCGGCCAGGAGAAAATAGTCTGACCAGGAAAAGGACACCTCCGCAAAGGGGTAAGGGTGCAGGAGCCTCCAGGGGTGGAAAGTGGATGGATGTAGGCAGGTAGTGTGGAATGTAGGACATCCACCGGTCCCTTATCAAAAGTACGCTCGAATAGGGCAGTCGTTCAATTATTATCTTAATCCGTAAGTGTTCGATAGCCCAAAAGAAACTGCTCTCTATACTACGGATAAGATAGCATGGCAGTGGCCCCCCCGAACTGGGAGTGTACCTGAGAGAATTGATCGTGACATTCCTGTTAACTCGTTGACGAGATTGTGCCAGCGCATAGCGCATCACACCTTGAGCACGTGTGGGGCCGTGTTGAGCGCATGCGCGCACACACAGAATATTTATTTTTTTTCGGCGCATGCGCTACCTTCTTTTTCTGATCTTTTGTATCTCTTCCATAGACTACACGATAATATAGACACCCACGAGGGTTCATTACATGGTTGAATATGCTCTTTTTTAGCGAAGGTTTTCTAAGCCCTACGAATTTCCCAATTGTGTTCATTCCTAGTTTCCTTTATATTCTGATAATCTTGGTCATCAAAAAGAGCAGTAGAAGTAGTAAATACAGACCCACACTTCAAGCAAGGCATATGTTTTTAGTGGAGCAACCGCGTCAAAAATAATTTTGAGGTTCACTGCAGCAAAAGCAACTGAAACTTGCCTTTCACCGCCAGAAAACGTCAATTCGATCGATTTTTTTACAGTTGTCCCTTCTGATAAGTTTGGCATATCGAATATCATTCTGAACATTTTGCTGCATCCGAGTTTTGGGCATTTGAAATTCAA